TTCTATATGTTCTCCAACAGAAGTGATGATTTAATAAGACTGCTGGAGACTAGTGTCTTTGTTACTCAATTTGTAATGACACTTGGAGACGGGGAGTTGTGCTAAAGCCCTGCTCTTGAATGTCCTACATGCAGATATTTTGAGGAAAAGCCCCATCTTAGCCACCTTTTCCTGTCACTCATAGGCCCCATGCCCCCCTCTGCTCTCCTGGCTGTCCTGCTGGACAGTTTTCAGGCCAGTTTTTGTGTGGCTGGGCCAGAAGCAGCCTGTGTTCTGTGGCCAGTTTGGCTGCTGGTCTGCTTCACCTTTTCTCTAACTCCTAATTTTCTTTCTAGTTTAAAGGACAGTCTGAAAACTGAAGAATAATGCTCTGTAGTTCTTGGACAGTAATTAACTTTTCATGACACTGAAGAGTGAAGCATATATCCAGCCAGCCAGCCTTTATCTTCGAGAATAAACCTATGTTATGACAACTGGAGGCTTTTTCTCACTTAGATGTTCTGTATGGGCATGGTCAGGTTTGGAAACTGCCATTTCCTTGAAATAAAGAATAGCATTTAATTATCAGTGTCAGAAGAAGGGAAGCCTTTTGTTCCACTTCTAGTTATCGTGAAGAATAAAAGAGGATAATGAAGATAAAAAGAAACGTGTGGATCATTTTAATATTTCCAGTATTGCCCATAAAGCAGGTTTACATAACCTCCTATGTCTGTAATTCTCCCCAGTCCCAAGCCCTACTAAGCAATTTTAAGCTCTCTCCCTTTTCCAGATGTGCTTATGCAAAGTTCTAGTTGAAATTTAAAAGAGTTTTTTTTTTTTTTAAGTTAAATACTGGGATACATGAATCAGTACATCCTAAGGAAAAACAACATTAGTGACCACCTGGGTGTCCTGTTTATTTAGTCTTTGGGCAAGCTAATGAAGGCATGTGCATGTTGGCTTCCAGTCAGTGCAGAGGTACCTTCCAACTGCACCTGCATGTTCTACCTCTCTTTCTTATAGTTTACTGTAAATGGCAGGGAAAAGAGTAAACAGAAGCTGGGAGAGTAGTGATAATGTTGGGATGCAAATCTGGAGGTAAACAAGCTTTATTAGTTCTGTTCAGTATTCTTTATGTAAAATTTGTTCGAATTACAGATACACTCTGACCTTGAATAGCATTGGAATTTTTTTTTTTTTCCTATTTGTGCTTAAGTACATCATCTTGGCATGTATGTAACCAAGTTAAGGTAACAGGTTGAGCTCAGGCAATTGGTTTTCTAAATACCAGGTGGCTCCAGTGGCAGACCACCTTTTTCAGATAGCAGCTACTTACGTACAAAGCCTACTAAGAGGCCACGTAGCTCACAACCACCACATAAAAGAGTATGATTCAGGATATGTTTGCTTAGGACAGGGTGTGTTGGGATAGAAAATGGCATGGCTGTGAGACCTCATGGCCCCAGAAATGCCTCAAGGCTCAGTGCATTGTGTGAAATGGCTTCTTGAATGAGGATGAGAACGTGGTGCATCTAAGAAACATGTTCTTCAGCTAAGCATGGGAGTTATGAGGTAAGAGCATTTTGGAAAAGCAGCTGAGGAAATAAGAATTGTTCTTGGTATGAGGGAGTTCTTCAAGTGCTCCTGGTTCCTTCTGTGGGGCAGGAAGGGACAAGAGAGCACAAACCAGACCTAAGCTGGAGCACGTGCTCACTGCCACAGTACGGAGTCACGGCTTTCTCATGTTGCTTTGGGTGAATTTAGCCATGTTTAAGTCATTCTCTAGTGTTAGAAGTTTTTTACTATGTCAAAATTAAAATTCTTTGTTATGTCAGAAGTTAAAAGTAAACGACATTGGCAAAAAAAGGCTGTTTTGGGTGGAGACTTTGATAGGTTTTCATCTCTGGCAGCCAAAATCTTTATCAGCTTCAGGTGAAACCATTTTTCCTTGATCTCTTAATCTGCTTCGTTCTTAGCAGCAGTCAGGGCACACCACAGTGCCTAATTGTGTTGCACTGATGGTGTGTCTGCCTCTGATTGTTTTGGGCTGAGGTTTCTGGGTGTCAACAGCTCAGATTTGTGGTGTCTCCCTGCCACAGAGTGCCATGTAAGACAGTTTTGTTCTGTGCTCAACTGGGAGGCAGGAACTTTTTTTCTGTGTTACATGTTATTTAAGCGGCTTCTACTTTATCAGTATTACTTGGAGAACCTTTCACCCTTTATTGTCCTTGACCTCTGTTCTTTTACAGCATATAATACATTTTATTTGTAAAATGTACATTAGCAAATTTACGTAGATAATGTCCCCGTCTCAAATTTGTCTTTACCAATTATTATATGATAACAACGAGCTACTTGTACAAATGGTGAGCATTTGCAGTGATTCTAGAGGAGAAAAATATTAAATAGCTTTAAGAAAATATTGGTGGTGTTTTTCTTGTTGCCTCCAGGAAAGGTGAATGGTAAAATATGGCATTTTCTGGACTTTGGCTTTGCAGATGATGTGATACCTGCCCAGTGATGCTACAGCAGTGTGAGATTGCAACTTGTTATATCAGTGGTAGTATCTGAAACAGGGGCCAGCTTAGGGAGTCTGAAATGTTTAGGCAGGGTTTTATGATCTCTGGCAGGCATTTGTTGTCAGAAAAACACCTCACCACTATAAAAAGTTACACGTAGTGCCTGGGAGCCAGTTGATCTTGGTGGATGAAAGGAAGACATATCTGGAAATGTTGTTTTGGCCTCGGGATTGTTTCTTTACAGAACTCTCTTTTTTAAATGAAAGTTGGTGGGTTTGGTTTTTTTAATTGCTAAAATTGAGGGATATTTTGAGATGATCGAGTAGCAGCAGCCCTTCATTGAAAGACCTTTTTATGGTGGGAAGTTTACATTTCTGGATAAGTCTATTAGGAAATCAAATCTGCACAACAGTTTCACGATGTGTTTTCAAAATAACACCTTAATTGGAAAATAAGTCTAATTTACCCTTTATTATGGATTTCTGTGTTATAAAATCAACAATTCAAAATAGCATCTTTTTTCTTTTTTATAAAAATACTTTATATAATGCTCTTAGGAGTAAATGTAGAGGATTTGTATCTGCATATATGTGAAATGCATTGGGGTGCTTGTCAGCTCGTATTTGTATTTATACTTTCTCAGAACCTTTCAGTACAGTGTTCTGTTTTCATTTTCTCCTGTCTGTCAGAAATCCTTGTCTTTGGTTTGAAAGCTTTCCTGCTTTCTTGCTGGGTAGATGTAATGCAACTTTAACAAAATTAATTTATTTTTTTAACTGAAACAACTGTTATAAATCTGTAAATTTAAGGAAAACTGGAAAATTAAAATTTTAATCTTCATGTAGATTTCCTACCAATAAGCTTAATTTTTACCATCATAGTAATATGAGTTTATGGTATACAAGTGTATCTTTTAAACAAGCTGCAAGAAATCTGAACATATAACTCCCCCTTCTCGTGAATAGGCAATACCAGGCTTTAGTTTATTTGCAAAAAGGAAATAAATAAAATTCTTTGCTCAAAGGTGTGCCTTCTGTCTTCTGCTTAGCTGCTGAAATATATAGGTACAGTTGTTCTATTTCTGCAACTTTATCAAAGTTATAAACTCTATAAAAGTTTTCATAGCTTCCATTGCCTCTTATCTCAGAGGGTGTGCTGACCAGCCTCTGAAAGAGGCAGAACTAACTGTCCTGAACTTAGAAACAGTTGTTCTCATGTTTCTTAAGTAATTGTAAATATTATGCTAATTTACACTGAAGAATCCAAATAGCACATGTTGTTCATAAGATGATGTGTAGAACTATATACAGGTTGTCTGCCCTGCATTCTTGAATGCGGAATTAGTGTAACAGTAAACCCAAAATGGATTAATTTAAACCTTCATTGTCTCCTTTCTGTGTGTGTCTGGCTGTATAATTTCTGCCTACACAAAGCCATGAGTGTCATTTGGATGTTTATGGCCAGCATAAGCTCTGCCCCTGTGCAGAGTTTCATGTGTAACCCGTACTTTGATTGAGACTCTTCTTTAAAGTTTTCAAATTTGGTTTTTATATGTCTTCACTCCTAATACGTTGTAACAGAGATATTGGCTAGCTCTGTATATTTTTAACCCTTGAGACACATCTCAGTTCTCTCTCAAGAGTCACTGACTAATGAAAACTTAGTTTTCAAGTAAGTCTTGATGTGTTTTAAGCAGATAAAGAGATCTGTGCCCTCCAGCTCACAGAGATGAGTGTGATAAAGTCGCGTCAGAAAACTTGGTTGCACTTCATTTCTCTAGTAGCTGTAACAGCCTAGTGCATAAATTCTGAATGCTTGGTATCCACACAGTGCTGTTTACTTTTTTCAGCAGTACAGCAAAGGTAGAAAGTGTGCATTAGAACCATATAAAAAAATCCAGGACTAAATGTCTTCCCCTTTCTTTTACTCCTGTGTTTGTGTTCATGAGGAATCCACCGTTAGTAGGTATCATGCCTGATGGTTAGCAGAGGAGAAAAATCAAACCATCCTGTTACAGTGGTTTTTCAGCTGGTGTCTGTAGGCTATTGTGGTCTTTTAAATACATTTGAAAGACTTACAGAAGTTAACAAAGATCTTACTTTAAAATAGGCTTAAATTCACCATGCAGGGAACTTACCCACACACAGAAATGGGATAGTTTAGGACACCATTTAAAGAAAGATTGAAAAAAAAAGGAGTATGGATGCTGCTCAAGTTGTGTTGTTTGTATCAAGTAGAGTATAAAATGTGGCATTTCCATTCTGCATTCTTAATTTTACTTGTATAATTCATTTTTCTGATAATAATTATGTGGGGTTTTTTCACACTCGATATTAGTAGGAGCCAGTCTGTCAGAGCAGCGTTTTTCATCAGGTTTTGTTACAGATTTGACAACTGTCCTTTATACTAAGATAACTGTATTATCTGGGGAGGGTGTGGATAAAAATCTGAACTGCCATTTCTGCTGTAGAAAGCTGACATTGTTTTGCTCTCTACCTGTAGGAACTTCCAGCCCCTTTGCTTGATGATACCTGTGGAAAGGAATTGGGAGATGAAGCAGCAGCTGTTGAGTCTGAGGATTTTCAGGATTCTATGAAAATAGCCTGGCGCTACCAAAATTTACCAAAAATGGAGGTAATCACTATTTCCTACTTTTTTTCCTCTTGCACTCAAAATGAATTTGAAGAGCAAGTGCTTTTCAGTAGAATGTAGACAACAGAACTGCTAATGGACACTGTTACAGGATTGCTTCCTGAGGGTAAATTATTATACATCACTGTAGTTTTTTAATTGCTAGAAATAGAAAAAGAAAGGGATTTTGAGACTTCGCAGGAACTGTAAAACTTAATATGGACAATAATAATTTTAAAATAAAAAGCCTTAAAGTGCCATGGGATTTTTTTTTTTAGTAAGTACTACTAAATTGAGATAGCTTTTTATGAAAGTTTGAAGAATGTGCTCACAAGGTTTGCCCAAATTTAGTTGTGCACAAATCACTTAAGCAGGTTTAATCAACACTACTTACTAGGTCTCTGTAGTGAAAGTACTGTGTGGAAGCAAACTGTTGACCTGCTTATCCATGTGCATAACAACTAAAGTAAGCACTTGAGATTATATCAGCTTCACTGTCACTGGAAACTAATCACTGTGCAGGGACAATATAAGAAACAAGCCCAGTGATCAGTCTTGCAGAGTTTACAGTTGTTACTGTTTGTGAATAATCAGTCTCCCGTGGCTGGTGACTTTCTTATTTAATCCAGTGGCACAGTCAATCTTTAACAAAATTACAGGGTTTTTTTTTTACTATTCAGAATAAACCCCCTGTTTTGTCTATACATTATAGCCTACATTTGTAAATTCTGGTTTAGGTCTGGTCATACCTGCCTGGTAAGTTCAGTCTTATTCTTAAAAACATAATTGGAATGTGACAAAATGATCTTACAGGGCTTGACATGTTTGGTTTTCTGTGAAATTGCACAGACATGGCTATATAGTTGTGTCAGAAAAGACTTATATATGGTGACATGCAAAATCCAGCAGCCTCCAGGGTAATCATATAATCTCATCAATTTTATTATTGTGGAGCTTACTGTGCCACTCTGAACCATCCCCAAAATAATTTGTCTGCTTTAAAATCTAGCAGAATTCCTTATACACTGGTATGGAAACAACTGCATATTGTTAACCAATAGTGTTCTGATGTGCTAACAAAATAGGAAAAAAATATTAAAAAATCCACTTAGATGTGCACTCATCTTCTCTAACTTCACAGAAGTAAGCACTTCCACTAATGTAAGATTGCCCAAAAATACATGATGTACACGTCCTTGATTACTGAAAATTGATTATGCAAGATAGAATAAGATGCTCAGTCTTTTGTTTCCCTTTTTATTGTTACTTTTTGAATTGGATGCTGATTGTTCTGAATAGCTGAATACAATATTTTTATGTGTATGTTAAATTCATTAAAAAACTAAAACATACAAATAAAAGTCTAAATGTCAAACTATGTGTACCTAAAATTCCTTGGGATATTCTAATTAGTGAAAAATTGGTTTGAAATTAGTATTTTCCAATATTTTATAATGCGGCTATCATTAAATTTTGATGCTGTGCTAAATTAATTTGATTGGTGAATATATTCCATTGAGGAATAATCTGGTATTGCCTTGCTACACACAACAATACAGTCTATGCTATCATTTAATTAACAACATTGGTTGTGATTTAGTCTTTAAATTCTCTTTTGGTGGAAAAAACCCATGTGGAACAGATGTATTTTGCAAATTGATTGAACTAATATACTGCTGCATTTTCAAAAACTACTGTCAAAAAGTTTCAAGTATGAAAGAGAGAAAATAGCTTTGTTATTAGCTAGAACTCTAAACATGGCAGCAGAAACTTGTCCATCCCTTATCTGGCTATATATGGAGTGAGAATGCAGAGTAAAAGCTGTCTTTGCAGTATCTTTGATGCTTAATTTAGTTATTGTTTCTAAATAATAACAGATTTGGAATAATAGTTCAGATATTCCCTTTCCACTTATTAGACCCCATATGGACTAGCTAGGTAACTCATTTTTGTTCTTATGCAGTGTGTTTATATTAATACTCTTTATAGCTAACACAGATTCTCTGTACATACTGTACCTACCTTGTGCCTCAGAAAAAGATTTATAAGTCAGAGTACAAGGCCAGAGTACAATACTTGATGTGCCTTTGCCAGCTTGTCACTCACATCTGTATCAGAGGTTATTTCACTTAAACTTTTGAGTATATGGAGAGCCTGTTTTGCAATGCAAGACAGTGAGACAGTGTGGGTTTTTCTTTTCCCCTTTTTTTTTTCTTTTTTTGAATGAACTGCTTATGTTCTTGGGGCAATATATAAACTGTCACAGCATGAAATCAATTTTCTGCCTTGATTCATCCTAAATCTGAGATTTCTAGCACATTAGTATTGCAATTAGAAACATTAACAGCAGACGGTAGCATAAAAGCAACGCTCTGCTCACTGACAGTTTAGTGCATTTCTCCTTGTGCAAACCAGGAATGCGGGAAAGAACTGGCTCGAGCCTCCAATCCACTAATAAATTTATCAGCTCAAACTTGAGAAGAGGAGTGGAAAGTCTCTCTGCTTGGCGCTCTCCGTGGTCATTGTGCTCAGGCAGATTATTCATGCTTACTTGATTCAGGTAGGCTTTTTGCAAGCTTCCCTGCTAAGCCTGGGAATGCCGTACATTGAGGGCTATTCACAGGCTTCTGACACGGAGCGAGCTTTTATTGCGTGGGGGTTTATTATCCCAAATCCCAGGCTCCACCCAGTTTGTAGGCGCTGTGCTCATTCTTTTGAATCCAGAGAGGTTATCACCTACCTTAATCCATGCAGCGGGGTGGATTAAGGACACCAATGTGCCTCAGGATTCTCAAAGAGGATCCTGGAAACTTCTTGTTTCTTCTTTTTTTGCTGTCTTTACTAAACTCTATTGGGCCTCAGGAAGGATTTGCATCTGAAATGGGCAACCTGGAGCTTTTCTCAATGAAGACATCAGATCAAAGTTCAGTTAGTCAAGGCCTTTCTAAAACATTAAGGGGGCTTGGAAGTACACAATAAAAAGATGAGCTCTGGCAGAGATTGCAGTAAAAACATTCTGATCTGTAATCCGGATAAAGAATAGATTATAGGCCAAAGAACAGCCCCTGTTTAAATTGCTTTCAGAATCCTTGTCTTAAATAAAGTTACATTTTACAATGAAAAATATTTAAATTTTGATAGAATGTTATGTTTTATTGGACTGCCTACTTTAAAAATCAGGTGCCAGTGAATAAATTGGAACGCTGACTTAGAGAATGTGGTTTTCTGTCTTTTTTTAGTAAAACTGATTTGCCTCTTATGACTGGATATACATAAGCAATTTTGTGGGGTTTTTTTAATTAAAAACTAATTATTTATTTTATTAAAAGTTTGAGTTAGTTGGTTATTCTGTTGTTTTTGTAGGAAAGATACTGTATTATTGTTACTATTTATATGCACTGATAACCATCTGGGCCTAACATCTATTAGTCAAATAATTTCAAAATATCTACCCAAAATCAAATCATTCTAATTAATCCTAACAGTTTAATATATTTTTAGTAAGCTTGTACTCGAATATTGCATATATCATGTTGCATATAATAACAACCTAGGGGGTTTTTAACTTTACATGTGGAATTCAAATAATGTTCAGGTTGTATGCTGATCTCCATTAATATAGAACAAAAATATGCATTCATTTCCTCTGTTTACTAGCACAACACATTTAAAATGTGTAATTCCTGTCCAGGTGTATATTAAATTTGGGGGGGGTTATGATGTTTGATATGCCCGAAATTAAGAGCTGAGGAAAACGTATCTTCATTATGATAAACCATGGTTATTGTGTGTAATGCTCAACCTCTGCTATTTATTCCAATTTTGAGAAATTTAAAGTAGTTTTTAACTATTTCCTATTTTTTAATTTAAATTAAATATACGAAGATGCAATGGTTTGGGTTTTTTACTGGTCACAAGTAAAGGGAAACATTCTCAAAATCAACTGAAAATATTTCTGTAGAGCCACATTATTCCCAGAGACTGAAAAATCAGAGAGGTGGAACACATGATGGTCTGCACAGTTCATGGGTCTGGGCTTTTGAAATTTGGATCATATGTCTAGAACATGTGCAAAAATACCTTCTTTTAAGTATCTGACTGCACTTTGGTGATGCAACTTGGAAGAGTAAGGGTTGAGTTCTGTGTGAAAAATTCACATTCCAGAATGTCAACAGGGGAACAAAAACTTAGTAGTAAATATTATAATGTTTTTCTATTTGAAGCTTTTACTTAAGCTGAATGGGAAAAACCACAGAGATTTCTTTCAATTGTATTGCTAGTTAATTATTTTCTTGTGACAGATAATAATTGAATGGGTTATTGTAATCAGTATCATTGTTTCCACAGGCCAGCCCAACGCCATATACAAAGTTTGGCCATTATTATGATATTTCTAAGAAAATGTCTCCAGAACTGACTCAGTCCATAAAATGGCACAGTTTTTACCTTCACGAAGAACTGTCTTCACAGCCTAAAATGAAAACATGGTAAGTTGTCGTGTGCTTAGATTTTTGTCTTCCTGTTGGTGGCAAAGGATATTTTGGCATCTACTCTTTGCTGGGCAAAACCTTTGCAGCCACACACAGCTCAGAAGCATCCTGGCTGTGGCCTCACATCAGTGTTCCACGGCAGGACTGGCAGCGAAGCCGAGACAGCTCCGTGTTCCGACCCCTCAGCTGCGGGAGGAAGCGAGTTGGCAGCGACAATTAAGGCAGACATTACTAGGACAGCCTAGGACACAGCTGCATGTTCAGTCCAGCCCTCCTGACAGCTGAGTGTGGGGACTGGGGAGAACTATTCCTGTCTGTCTGAGAAGTGCTCCCTGAGCCCCGGCAGCTCTCCGGGATGTGCGTGTCAGGTGGCGATCAGATATCTGTGTGGTTTTTAGGGCTAAGGAGACGGGCCATCCTTGACCTACATAGCTTAGAATGCTATATCAGATTAGTTGATCGTGTGCTTTTTTACTTCTTACATCCTGCAGCTTCACCTAAGGAAAATACAGATTGCTGTGAATAAAATTACAGTCGCTAATTGTGCCTTACAAAACGTCTCCTATTCAAACTCTCCTCTGAATGAATAACTCATTATGTTTATGTTTATCAGTAAGGAATTAAGGAAGCCCAAGAGAAAGAGTGACAGTAGCTAAGACTCGTATTAGCCTGCAGACACACATCCATTGTACCTTTCTTGGAGACATTTCAAGTCAAACATGAAGGATGGGCTAGCAATTTGTTTGTCCAACCCAGTCATTTAATTTATATAATACCTACTTTTATAGATCCCAGTGCATATGGCCAGCTCCTGGAGGCAGTAGTAGGGTGTCCTTCCTTGTGACTGATTTGCACTGAATATATCAATATATAATACATCAAATATAAAACCTCAGACTTATGAAAGAAGCACAGTATGAAGCAGCTTTCTTGGAGCTGTAGAAAAGCAAAAGCCAAGTCTCTCTGTAATTTGTTTCTGTGTTACATGGTCAAGTGTCACTGCTTTGTAAAGTAAATTCTTGTGATTTTGTAAAAAAAAAAAAATCCACACTTTTAGGAGAAGGAAGAAAAATTATATTTTATTCTTTATATAGTAAATATTTGAACAAACTTTGTTTATATATTATGTATAATTACTATTTTTTTAGTAGCAGAGCAATAGAGGAGAGACACAAGAATATCTGACAGGTTGCAAGTGTTGCTATTGTTACTGAGCAATTTAACTCCCTTTCTGTCTTTTCTCTAGCAAACTAGAATGTCTCATGGCTCTGGGCTTAATTCCACTGACTGTATGGCTGTCAAGTATTTGTTAATTTTACATTAAAATCAAATTAACTCATCAGTAGAGTATAGAAAATGGATTTTTATGCATTTGATTTTATAAGCCTTGCTTAATGCTGGTTATTGGCCTGGTGTGCTAGCCTGATAAAAGCTCATCATTCTTTCTATATGGATTCTCTTCTTATTTTTAGATTTCATCTAACAGAAAGATTGGATTTATTTAATTTTCATGGTAAATTGGTTAAAGCACAGAGTGATGGGGTGAGGAAGGTGATCAAATACAGCTGGACTTTGAAAGTTTTATCTCATTTTCCTCTCCCTGCACCCTCAACATGGGTCTCCTTCAGGAAGCTTCTCCTAAGGAAATGAAGGAATTGTATTGTTGGGAGTAAAGGCAGGTACCAAAGTAACAGACAACCACCATTCTAAACATCATTCTTAGACCAGAAGGCAGCGTGATAAGGGACAGGGAGGAATAAAGAGCACATTGGGAATAGTGAACTCTTGGAAACCTGTGGGAACTGTAAAGAGTTGTGTACATCTCTTTCTTTACAGTAGCTCTTTTGTCTTCTAACTTTATTCTCTTCCCTGACCAAAAACAGTGGTGGTTTTGGGTTCCCTGTGCACAAGGTTGGAAGAAGAATTATTTAGAATTACAGCCTCTGAAATAAAGCTTAAAAAGAAGAATGGAAGTTCTTGGAGGGATGGAAGCAGAGTTCTGAAGCATTTTAAAAACTGACATCCAGGGGGTCTAACTGTGCTTTCTGCAGCCATGGGCTGCAGGGAACTGTAGCAGTGGAAATACAGGCTGGAAGTAAGGAGATGTTTTCCTAATGATTTACACAAGAAGTTGCCTTGCAGACACGGGTTGGGAGTATTGTAGAATCTCCACCACTGAAAATGTCTCAGGACAAGTTAGGTCAGACCTATTGAGGTCCTTTTCATCCCTATATTTATGATTCTTTAATACACATTAGTCATGATGTATTAAATCCAATACCAAGTACTGATGTTATCAGTTATTTCACTGCTGTCAAAAAGTTCATGCTTTTACAGAAACTCAGGAGAACATACTGGGCTTTTTAACAAATATTCTGACGAAATTCTGAAGGAAGCATTCTTTTTCTCAGGGAGTGAAAATAAGCTCAAGATCCTCTCAGGATGATTTAATTAAAGAAAGTTTATTAAGAGGAGGGGGGAAGGGATATTATTTTGCTGGCATTACTGTTTAGAAAATTAATTCAGTGCTTTTGGCTTTTAAATCTAGCTTCAATATATCATGGAATAGTAAAACCTTCTGTTCTTTTTATTAACCAGACAATGATTTCAAAGAAAGCAATACGATAGTCACAGTTAACCCTTCCAAGAGAAATCAGCAATTTGTATCAGGCCTGATCTTGGATTGCCTGAAGGTCCTACTGAGAGCTTGAACCCTTTTATTTTGTGTTACAGTGAACTGGGAGCATGGCCATGGCTGGGTAGCCTGCCTCCTCTTAGAGCAGATAATTTCATAAGCATGTGGTTCTCAGGCTATGGTTAGATGCAGAGCCGAAAAAAAGACTTGTTGACATAATATATAGCACTGCAAAGTCTCTGTAATCTCTTAGGCTGACAGTACCTCAAAAAAGGACAGACAGCCTGAAAGGAGATAAGAAAAAGTTACAAAAATTACTTGAGGTTCAGAAAAATCTCTGAAAGTATGATTTTCTTTCAATTTATCAAAAGAAGATTGACAGAAAACCTATTAACAGTGGAAGCTGACACATCCTTCAGAAAATAAGGAGATATTTTTAAGAAAGGGGATTGAAATAATTTACGTTAATAGGCTGTATATTATGAGATGTTTGCAAAAGATTTCATAACTTTCTAAAGGGTATACTTTGCAAGATGTGTATCAGTAAAGACATTTCTGAATGAAATTTTCTCCTAAATTGTGTAGGCTTGCAGACCCAAGGCAGTGGTGCCTTGTGGGTTTTTTAAAATCTAAGAGTGTTTTGCTTTTGTCACCCACGCAGAGGTTGAGGAGGAAGTGCAAACTAGCAGTTTTGCCTAGTATACAGCTTTGCATAAGTAAATGATATTGTTGTTGAGGAATGATGCCTCTTTATAGTCTCAGAAGTTGCAAAAAATTAGGAATTAGCTGGCAAAAAGAAGAGAAACTTTTCCCTCTTTTCAAAATGTTTCCACACTAGTTTAGCAAGCGTGTTCCATTCTAAATACTTGCAGTGTTGTAAAGCACAACATGGTTTAAGCTGAGGCTGAAATAAATTATTTTCCTATAATTTTATAGTTCTATAACTACAACCATTGAAGAGGCACCTTGTATTAGGTGATCATCATGGAAAGTGTACCTAACCAAATACACACATTCTACATCAAGGTCATGAGCAATGACAGGCTAGTAATTGTAAACAAAACTTTTAGAAGCTCAGTACACTTTTTATTGCACCTTTTTGATTAATTATTAATTATCATACCTACTGATGTAAGCAAGGCGTTCCCTGAGAGGTGCCCTATTTGGATGGGGTTTTTTTCTGTTTTCCTGATGGAGACCTGCTACTCTTGTATGTAATTAATGTTCCTTTTTTCTTTACTTTTGCCTTTCCTTTTGAGTTAGGGGGTGACTAGCTTTGGAGGACCTTAGGTTTCATGTTTCCTCCTTGAAATTTGGAACACTTCTCCTTCCTCACCCTCCTTTTCTTTGGGAAGGGGTGGGGAGCAAGAAGAACAATCCTTTGCTTTCGTTTCCTTTCCCTACTCTGGGATGTAATAACAGATTATGCAGTTACAGCAGAATATATACAAGAAAAGTAATGTACCTTCCTGTGTACCTGCCTTTCTTATACAGCTTATGCTCTCCTGTCAGAAACAGTGAACAAATATTTTACAATCCTTGGAAAAACAATGCTGCATCTTTTAGTAAGCAAGGTCCTTTGTGATAAAGTTTTGTGCATAAGAACCATTTAAGAACTTTTTTTAAAAAGAAGTACCAAATCATCCTCGTTCTTCTAATTCTCTGGCTTCACATTAAGAAACCTGTTTTATTTAAACTGTTCCTCAGTGAGTGAACTGTCTCTGTAATTGTAACCAGTGCCTACTGTGAGATAGTTACAGTGATTCCCTTGCAGGATCAGAGATGTGGAGATTTTATGTGGGCCAGAAACTCTTGGCCCTTTTGAGAAATCATGTATATTTATACATATGGCTCTCTTCCTATCCACACAAGCACTTGGCTTCTTTATGGACTTGGAAAGAAAAGTGATTGTGTGATTAGACAAATCTGACCTTTTACTTTGCAGTTAAGGATCAGTTTTGGAGATTATCAACATCATTTGTTCACCTTAAAGTTGGATCAACCTTTCTTGTCTTTCCTGTGTTTTCACACATGTGTGTATCTGGTTTTTGATGGACTGCTGTGTTTGCTCTCCTTTCTGTAGTTCTGATACCTGGTGGGTAAATTAGATTACAGGGTCCCCTTTTGGATAATCACTCAAGATGGATAGAAGTTCACTTCCCCGTGATAAGCATTAATTGAAAACAGATTGTCAAGTCGGCTCTCCTAAAGGAAGCAGTGAATGGGATTGAGTGTTTGGTGCCAAAAGAAGGCAGAAACTCCTCTTCCTTATCTCATTTTTTATGTTGGGGAAGGGCAGTTATGTCCTGGTGTTAATGCTGGGACCGGGCTAACAGGGTTGTGTGACTGACAGCAACTGTTTTCCGGTTGCTGTTGCCAGGATGTCGTGGTGTCCTTTTTGTTGCATTGCTAAAGCTGGTCCTTAACAGGAAGGCAGAAATATCCCCTCTGGTAATTCTGTGCATCACAGACAAGAATTATTTTCTATCTGTTTACATCTGTTCTCATTCTTCCTTTGCAATTACCAAAAGAGAAGGTTTGATAATCCAAGGACCTAAAATAATTAAACTGTAATACTGCTAAGTTTTACCTTAAGAATGTATGTGCTTTTGAAAAGGGATAAATTTATCTGGAGTCTAGATTTACCAATAAATTTAGATAAAACAGGTTGGACTGTCTTGCCTAATGGGGTCTCCTTATACACAATAAGGCTATTTGTCATATCCTTGATAACCTAACCTTTGTTAACTGCTTGGAAACTATCAACAGAGAAGTCAGAGGCTTTGTTGTAACCAGGATACCTTCTTGCTAGCTCCTGCTTTATCCATTACTAAATTGCTAAACAAAAAGAGTAAAGAAGGAATTGTTTAAACTCATTATCAGAATTACGTGGTGTTTAGTAACAAAGCCAAAAAAAGACTAGAAATAAGAAAATAAGATATTTCTTTTCTTAAATATTATGACAAGCATTGCCAGAAGGGTAATGCAACTTGTTTATAAAAATAGTGTTTCCACAATATTTTTCGTGTTCTTATTTACATAGCTTGGTTCAAATTCAAGTAAACCATTAATATTTTAGCAAGAGGTAGAAAAGCACCTGTTTTTACATTTTTTAAAGGTCTATGCACAATGCATTATCATTTTTAATTCTTTCCTTGCTGCAAATCTTTTTCTGATGGATTAACTGAGGATCTGTCTTATTTGTTTGTTTTAATTTGGGGACCCTTTAATCCTGCGAAGTGCTTTAGTTATTTTATTTTTTTATCCACTAACTTTTAAAAACAAGGACTGTGTGTGTGCCTGTTGTGATAATGTGAAGACACGGAGAGAGAAGACATTTTGGCTACCCCGGGGGCTAAAGTTTGCTCTGTAAACTGGCACCTGCCAGGCAGGATAGGTATTATAACATTTAATAGCCATTCCTTTTGCAACACTAGGAAAGTAATGGACTTCAAAAGTTAACCTTTCCTGTCTGAGATGCTCTTTTTTTGTATTGCAAGGCAGACTTCACACATTAAATATCATGTTGAGATTATGTATTGCCAGTTAGTTTTCAGCTCTGAATTTCATGAAGGGTATTACATTATTAAGGTACATCAATTTAACCAGTAGTTTTCTAGGGTACTAAATCTGGAAAAAATAAATGGAATTTAATTTGGAGACTCTTCCTTGTGATTATATCTGAGAAAGGTCATCTCAATGTTTTCTGACACTGAGTATTTAAAAACTTGAAATTATTATGACCATATCACTTTTTTGGTTGTAGATATTTATAACTCAAATGTATCAGGGGCTGGTTTTGAGTTGATAATGTTTTCTTCAAGGAAATATAGAGTTTTGAGTTGAAGCAATGGTTTGTATAAGACAGATCATTCCAACTCTTACATGTTTCTCAGGAAGTTGTCTCCTCTCCTGTGCCAAAGGATGCAAGCAAGTTTATTTGGGTTTCTTTAGGTATTAATTAGTAAAATGCATTTGTATAACAGTCTTACCTCTTATTAAAGTAACGAGAATAGTGTCATTAGCATTTGGACCCTGTGATCTTTCAGAGTTCCTTCCAACCTGGGCTGTTATCAGACCAGATATACAAAAGATCAGAGCAAATGAGAATATTTTTAGAGGCAAAATTTTCCAGATAACCTGTCATATTTCCCCAGGAGTACACAAGGAGCTTTGAATCCACAACCCTTGATGGTAATTAGTGAGAGTTGAAGGAAATGTCCAAGCTAGAAAAGATAGAAGGACTTAAGCTCTCAACTGCAGTAAGGAACCTACATCAACCCCAGCCCCCCAAGCCAGAGTGCTCTGTGAGATTTAAGAAAACAGTATGTTTCTTTTAAAAGTGAACAACTGCCTTGCTTTTTGAAAGTGAAGATTAGGACTTTCTGTCCTTTGTGTGTGTTAGCCTGGAAAGTGGAGAGCACAGACAGGATGGATAACTGAAGTGTTTGGATGTGCAGGAACTGGACCTTCTAAGTCTTTGACAAGATGGTTTGCTGAGCCTTCATTTGGTTTTAAGTCTGCTCAACTCCATTTTTAGCCACCAGTTTGCATTTGTTTGCACTTTTGTCTTTTCTAAATAACACATAAAATCAATGCTACCTCGCAATTTTGCTGTCACACCAATAAAGCAGTGAAAATGTATGAAAGTTCTCATAGAAAGTCAACTCTTCATCAGGGCACTGATTGAGTGTACTTGGAAAAACAATTGGGGAGATCTTTGGCAGTTACAGAAGATTAGTTCTGTGCTGTAATGGTTTCAACTTTAAGTTGATACATTAAATCATTAATCTTCTAGATGTAAGCAAGCCTGACATAATTAAGTTATCTTAATCCCTAGAGATTTCAGCTTTCACTGAATGTCTGAGCACTGAACTAGTTAACACGAAGCAATCACGACTGCTTATAATGTCAGCTTTATTCAGGGAGTTTGGTTTGGTTTTTTTTTTCCTTCTCTGACACTTTTTTCCATGAGACACTTGCACTGAAAGCTGCATCTGCTTATATTTATTTTTTATACAGCTGTTAGAGACATATAGGAGAATTATTAAAATGTGTAACTAAACTCTTTCTTCTTACCAACAGTAATATGAATGGTGCTTATGTGAGACTGCTTCAGTCCCTTCAGAGGATCATTGCCCAGGGAGGGTTTGATGGCTCAGATCCCCAGGTACCCTCATACTCTTCCATCATCCTGTAACTAATGTTTTGTGGATTTTTAGGGGTGGCACAAGAAGGTCTTGGACAAAGTAACAAGGAACAAACTGTTTCTAAGCATTGCTAAAGTCAACAAGCGAAACAAATAGCGTTGTTCGTATTTTAATGTGGGTTTGGACTTTTTACCTGTTAAAGATATGCAGACCATGTAAGAAAGCATATTCTGTGCAATTAGCTAATAAATGGATGGCCAAATATAACGTAATTAAGAAAAACACATTTTCCCCTGCATTTTTTTTTTTTCAAACTATTGCTTTAGCAGGATGTGTTCAAGACCTTTGAGGCTGAACATTTATTCTTAAACTTTCGGATTTTTTCAATGTTGTTTTAACTGGAATGGAGTTAATTTTTTAATGAATTAAATGGTGGCATCTTTATGTAGTGAGCACTGAAACACAAGTAAAGAAATAAGAATACTGTTTCAACTTACAAATCAAAACAACTTACCAGACTTCTAAAGGTCTCTGTTCTCTCCATAAATCGTACTGTGGGTAATCAAAAACATTTTGAGCATAACAATATAGGCTGAAAGCCCTTTTCTAATATGAGCAGGGCCTTATAAGTTATTCTTTGTCATACTCAGTGAGTCCTTTGGAGTTGTTGGAAATAAAATAATAATTTTTTATATGTTGATGTTTAATTGATAATTGCTGTTGTTCAATAGAAATGTTACTAGAGTAGAAATCAATTTGTATGGATTCTGGAGAGCCTGAAAGAATTCAATACAAGACTGTGTACTATTGCCAGTCTAATATCTTAGAAATCATTTTTTTCAGGGAGGATAATGTTGGAAAGGATGTTTTTGTGTCTGACAGTATGTTTTAAAACATTACCTGCACAGACCGCCTGTGTGTAAATTTAGGTTATTTGTGCTCGGCGTTCCGTCTCTGCAGAGATTTCTGGGAGAGCTTTCCTTCCCTTTGGTGGCAGTGCCAGTCTGGAGAAGGAAATTGGTCCCTGACAGGCCCCACTCGCTGTGGTAGCCATGGCAACAGCCGTGTGTGTCATCCTCCTGTACGGCAGAGATGCTCCTCCTGCTCGGTGACAGGTCCTGTGGAAGCCCGAGAGCTTGTTGGCTGCAAAGAGCAGCCCTGAGTATGAAACAACACCCTGCCAACCTTCAGCCAGCAAACAGCCTCCTACTGAAGAGATTAAGCTGTTGTTCCTCATTTTGCTTTTTGTATTCCTGGTTTTTTATATTTTTCCCGTTTATTTATATTTTTGTATTCTGGGGTCTTTTCGTGTAGAAGGAAATGAAGGTTGTTCGGAGCCAATATTTGGGTGTTTTTTGCTTGCAAGTAGGGGAAAAAATTAAACATCACGGGTCGTTATTTTCTGTGCTTGTTGGTTGTTTCAAAACATCTTACAGTGTCAGTAAAGCAGAACCAGAACTTTAAGTGAGATGAATTTAGAAGTATATGTTTGCTAAATGATGGATCGAAGTTTCCAAGGTGAAGCTTTGAAAGTTAGAAAAGTCTTTTTTTCAGGCCACTTTATTGATTTAGAAAGCCATTAGCACTTGTGTAGTTCTTTCTGTTTCAAGGGAGGTAATGCATATGATTTCCTGGAGTGGTTTCTATTACCTTCTTGTAAGATTCCACCCTTCCCCAAGCATCATCTTTCTTTGTACACTCAAACTTTGTACATTGAGAGGCCTTGTATAATATACACTTATTGAAAATATATCCAGGGTTGAATGTAGTTAAGGCCCAGAACACACCTTGGATCTTTTTATCTGCCAAATTTATGAGCAGTTCACCTCTCTGCTGCTTCATACCCTCTTCTGTTTCCTGAGCCTTTAGAAGTACTCTTTAAGTAGACAGATATGAAGATTGTAGTATAAGGACCAGCCTGGATTCTTCTGGACCTGTGTCCTTCCCTGTATATAATAATTAAAGCTTTTGAAAAGTCTGTGCCTGTTTCTCCCCTGCACCCCCAAATAATCCTCTACCTGACTGATAAAACTTTCAGATATTTTTGGCTATTTTCACATCAGTGTGACAATGGTACTTAGATTTACTACTCTTTTATTTGAAGAAGGGTCTGAAGAAGAGTGAGAATGGAACTCAACCCAGCTGAGAGATGGTTTGACACAATTAGAAAAATTAGTGAATACTACTGTTAGAAGTTTAGTAGATCTCTGATAAAATGGTCAGGCATCTCTAGGACCTGGAATGGTTAGTTAACAGTAGTTTTATAGAACCACCTGCAGTTGGCCTTCATAGATTAATAATATATTTTGTCTGTCCTGCATGGCTTTGTGGACCTTAGGACAATAATTCCTGTTTGGATACAGAGAAGTTTGGTTGAAGTTGACCAAAGCACTGACCTGTTAGTTCACACTGACTGGAACTGCTGCCAAGGTCTGTTTGGAAATTCAAAGACTCTGGATGACCTGTAAAATACAAATACAAGCATCAGGTTTACATCCTTTCTAAAGCCTCCTAGTAACTTTTTGCTGCTGATCATTAAGTTTGGATCCTTTATAAATTGATCATGACTTTAAGTTATAAAGAATAGTATTTGTTTGTTTCAGAATATTTTGGGGTTTTCATGTTTGACAACAGAGCTTTCATAGGCAATTATATTTCCTTAGCAATTCTTTCATATACTTTGGAGTTCAAGTTGGGTGGCTTTCAGGGCAATAAAGTTGGGGGGGATTGGTTTTTTGTTTGTTTGGAGTTGGGCTTTTTTAATTCTTCATAATCAGAATCCTTGCTGCCAAATCGATCAGTGTTACAAAAATTACATGAAAAAATTAAAAAAATAATCAGAACTTCAAAACTAATGTAAGTATAAAAGATCTAGTGGTATATCTAAAAAAATGTTATCCTGGTCTTTACAGTTGGCTTGTTATAGAATATTAGACTTACTCTTTTCCTATATTTCAGTTATGGAATAAAGTGTTTGTCAGGGCCTTGTGGGCTTGACAGAATTATACTGGTTGAAGTTCCATTACTGGCCAAAATAAATACATCTGATATTTTCTGGTGTTTGAATAGCTTTATCTTTTACTACTCTTACAATTTGATGTTGGGAAACAAGCATCTGTCATCCTTTATCCAGTAAGAGAACTGGTTTTTTCCTCTTTTTGTATGTTGTTCTTATGGATGTTCTTCATAAGAAAAAAATGTTTTTCTCATAAAAGAAGTTTCTGTAAGTTTTATGTATGTTTGCTCTGAAATTTTGAAATACTGTGACTCTCTGGCTGATCATTATCTATGGTATCTGGATAAAACATTTTTCTTAGATGCCTGATTTTGTCTTATTGCTTAAATGCACATCAACAATTGCCTGAATCTGCTCTGATTAGAAGTAATTGAAGAATATTACACTAACTTCTATTTTTCCTGTTCTTTTTTAAAACTCTGAACATCCAAGCCTAGAAAATACTATACAGAGAAGTCAGATTGTGTCACATTATCCTGTGCTGTTGTCCCGATCTTCACACAGTAGTATAAAAAGTTAACTTTTCAAAACTAAAGGCTAAAATCCTGCAAAGACCCAGACTAAAGAATCTGCCAGAGTTAAAACACAGATTGCTTTCACAGAGATTTTAAATGAATTGGCAGATCAGCTCACTGTGTAAGACAGATAAGTGGGATAAATGCAGAGCCATGTGGAATTAACTGTGTCTCACAACTCAGGCTCTGTCTACCCAATATGGATATGGAAGTGTTTGGAAGAGTAGCCTCTTGTCTTGTCAAAACCTTTCCTCTGGATTGCCAGAGCAGCTGTGCAGTGTTCTGTGCTTGATAGTTGCTGTTTATTCCAGCTGCTAGGAGTCAATATCTACACTTTATCAAAACACTTTTCTGTAGCAAAAATTACCAGAAAGCTTTTGTTTATCAAAACTAGTATTTTTATGTGTGTGTGTGTGTGTGTGTATAATTTTTAAAAGCTGGCCTTTAACTATGAACCCTGAACTCTAGAAATGTTTCTCTGATCACCTTGTACAGGAAGTCTTTCAACAAGGGAGCTTATTGTCTCTCTCTCAGCTGTCGATAGCAAATAAACCTAAAATCCTTCTCAAAGATCACCAGGAAAGGTCACATCAAATAAGCAGAAATGACATTTGTCACCACAAGAGATAACATTTTACTTTGCATAAATGGATTACAACTCTGGCTGGCTTCTTAATGTGTCCCTTCAGAAAAGGAGCTGTATCCCACAGCCCTGCCTCTGTTGGGTGTTCTTCTGCCACTGCACTGCGGGGCAGCCAGCAGGCTTTAGGTGGGTAACACAAGGGGCTGTTTAGGATTTTATATGTCACAACAGCTTAGATTCCAGTGCCCAGTAGGTAACTAAAGCAGCCCCAGAAACACTCAGGTCGAGGGCTTTCAGAAAGGTGTGGTCCTTGAGAGACGATCTGCTGCTGGACTCTGTTCCTGCACAGCTGTGAGAACAGCTTCCTTCAGCAGCTGGAAGGAGTCATGTAGAAGGTCCTTACCTTCTAAGACAGTGAAAGGCCTGTGCAATGGTGAGCTGAGGCACTGACCTGGGTCATTTGGAGGCAGCAGAATGAGTGAAACCAAAGCAAACACTCAGAACAGTCAGGTTATGAGAGTAACGCAGCGAGAAGGTGAACATAGAGGGAAAAGTTGTGTTGGAGTCCTCTCAGGCACTTCCAGCAGGCTAGTTTAGAACTGGGAGAAAATACTCTTTTGCATGTTTTTTTAAGGCAGTGACATAGGAGAGAAAGGATATCAAAAGTCATAGTGTTACTGGATTTTGTGTCAGAATATACTTGCTTTTAACCGGTTAAAAAAAAAAATGCAAATTAGCAGTTTTCAGTATTTCCATGCTGTCTCCTACATTTGTGCTTTCTTGTCTGACATAGCAGGATATCCAGTCAGTAAAAAAAATGCCATTCAATTTGTAATTTTTGTAAGAGGGACTGAGATTAAGCTATGATTATGCAAACTATGCAGTTATTATGGACATGCGTTCTAGAAACTGTATTGCTCCTAATGGTCAAAAAATAACAAATTACTTTTTTTTTTTTTTTCTTTTCCAATAGAAAAAACAAAAGAATGTTTTGAGGATAGGAATTCAGGGTCTGGGTTCCCCGTTGTGGGGTGATGACATTTGTTGCAGTGATACTCCTGAAGATGTTCATAGCCTTACAAAATTCCTTTATGTTCTCCGTGGCCTCCTCAGGAAATCTTTGTCAGCCTGCATCATCACAGTTCCAGCTCACCTTATCCAGGTAGGAATGCTGCTTTTGCTGTATTTCATAGCTGACACAGCAGTTAGCCATAACTTTTAAGTTTATGGTAAGACAACAAATGCAGTTTTGGACATTTCTAGAAGTCTTTCTGTTCAAAGTTGAAATTAAAACATAACTATATGTTCTGCTTTTGTGGGACATCCACACTGTAAAATCTACAAAGACCTAAGTGTAGAATAATCTTAAATACAGTTATGCCATATGTGAGTCTTAATCCTCTTTTGAAAAACTATCAGAATTTCAGAAACTGTAGAAAGGTAAGAAAATAGTGGTAGTCATCCCTTTTTTAGTTATTTTTTACAACATCTCTAGGCACTTTTCCAGTGCCTTCAGGATGCTGTTTGGAGTTTCAATACAAGACTTTTCAGTCCACTGTCTTCACCTGGCATGCTCATTATGGTGATGTGTGATCTTGTTTTTAAAGTCAGGAATTGAAAGGTATGGATTTACTCTATAGTTCCAATATCCCCTTGTATTGGGACCAGGAGCAAACCAGTTATGGTGTCAGAGTAATTTTCCCAACAAGCAGCTTGTAGCACCTTTCCTGAGAGTATGTGGAGACCTAAATGTATCTTCTGAAAATCAACTTTTTTAGCAAAAGGAAAAATGTAGGCAGTCTTTTGTTCTGCGAGTGGTAATGTAACTCAGAAAAGCAAAATTATTATTCACAATGAACAGAGAACCTATAATTTTAGGTATTTGATTTAATTATAGGAAAAAAGTACTGGATAAAACCTCACATTATGCAAAATGTTTTCATAGTAGGTGAGTTTATCAACAGATTAAATCCTGTCTTAGGTAAGTACATGACTCACATGTATTGGATTTTGTTAAAGGTGTTTGAATACCTGCAAATGTTATTTATCCAGATACCCTGTGCACTTACTGCTTCAAAAATGAAGAAACTGTATTTTCTAGTTTTACCATTGTAGTGAAAAGTGTATGAATATTCCTCTTGCAGTGCATACCTCCACCTCCTTATTTTTAAATATTAGATGGCAGTTTGCCTTTAAAAAGAGTGACACTTTAATTTAATGCAATGAATAGAATTTGTGAATGTAAAAGCACCATCCTAGATTTTGCCCATTGGAATTGCCTCTCCATAACTGGGACATACATCTCATTCATTGTACTCTTCTTTATCTATCATTTCAGTAACGGGTATGTTCATATTTTAGAGAAATCCAGAAGCGTCTCTAAGAAAGAAACTGAAGAGTGAAGGTTTTTGTTTGTTTCAAAGTTACCTGGGAAGTTGATTTTTGGTTTTTTGTTTGTAAATCCCATGTAAACCCATTCCCAGGGAGTAAGGAGTGAAATTACACATTGCATTTTTAATCGCTGATTTTTTGATTTTAATAAAACCGTTTTGACAGGAAGTGCTAGAATATTCTGAATTTAAAAAAAAAAAAAAAAAAAAAAAAGAAAGATTACTTACAGAATCTTTGCTCAGCATTAATATTTTTTTTTTTTTAAATCATGCAGCTCGGTGTATCCTTCTTTGAGCGCTGCACCGCGGAGAGAAAAACTGTCATTAGGAGGAGCAAAGCTGCTGAGGGTTCCTTATACCCCACATTACTCAGTTCCCAGAGCCCTGCTGTGTAGTTGTTCCACTCTCCAAGAAGCCTGTTAAAGAGCCCCTGAGAGCATGTGTCCAGCCCTCCATGTTAATAGTTAATTGGTGAGGATGGCGAGATGAGAGGACAGCCGAACATGTGGTCTCTCAGGCTCAAGCCGGAGCCAGGCCTTTAGTTATAATAACAGCAGCTGCTCACATTCTCACAACCCAGCTACTCACCATTCTGTTGCTGAGGTTTCTCACTGGATAAAAAAAAAAAAAAAAAAAAGTGAAGGAAATATCTTTTCCAAGAGAATAAGAGAGAGGGATTTTTTTTTCTTTTTTTTTTCTCCCAAGTACCTTTCTGTATATGTATTTAATTTGATGGGAGTATGTTCCAGCATATGCTTTCTCTGTTGAATCTTAAAGTCAGTATACTGAAGCCAGAGAAAATGCACATAATTTTTTTGAAGATATAGTAAATTCCACATTTTTCCCTGAACTAATGTTGCTGTATTTCCTATGTTAACTTTTGGCTCCTGACTGAATTAACTGGATGATCTACAAGTAAATTCTTCACATGTGTAATTTCCGTGAAGGACATGGAAGCTCAAAATCACTTTTAATCAAAGTTTCATCTGCATGACATGTACAGAAAAATAGTTTCATTTTTACCTGCTTTGTCATGAAAAAGTAGATTTTTGGTAGTGACTCATACCACATCTTGTCTCTGCCAGCCCCCAGTACTGGTTAGTCCAGTGAAGAAGAAATAAAACTCACAATTGGTGGTACTGATTTTCAACAGGGACAATGTCTTTTCAACCCAGAGTAGTTACATTTTTTATATGCACTGTATTACTAATATATATATATATATGTATATACATAGTTTGAGATTGATTTCTTTTCTGTATTTTTCCTAATAGTTTGCATGTAGTAATGTGGCAGGGAGCTCCACAAATTAAATCTGCCCAGTTTCTCTCTTTTTTCAGAACATTTAATTTTGCCTTTACTTTTCATATATTGTATCTTCGTTCTTGGCTGATAGCACATTAAAATAATCCTCCCTATTTTATATTTTTTGTATTCCAATTTGTAATTTTTCTCTTGTTGCCTCCTTAGTCTGGTTTTAAACAGTCACTTTGCCTTGTTTCAGTAACATAATACAGTAATGCCATTATTGTTTGTTTACTTTTCCTGCATTCTAATGTCTGGTTTGACTCTTTGGTGACTACTGGACATTAAACAGTGATTTTGTTCTTGATGTTTTTCCCTCTGTGATACACATCCACCAATGTGGCTCTTTCATTATTCCAGCAATTCATTGTCTTGGATTTAATAACTTGGAATTGCATTTATCCAAAGATGGTGCTCATTCATCCAGCTTGATGGGACACTGAATGTCCTCACAGTTTTCTGTAAGGCTATATTTTGGTAAAAGACACAGATTTGCAAAAAAAAAAAAAAAAAAAAAAAATCTGTTTGTGTGCAGAGTTTTTTCAGAGTAATTTAAAGAAACCGTAGTCCACTAAAGCAGGCAGATTTTTTGTGTTTTATTGATGAAACTTCCAGTGCAACCAGCACATGAAGTTTCTCAACCACAAAAATAGGAGTACGTTATTCTGGTTTAAAGCAAATGACACAAAAAAAACCCCTTAGCCAATTATGAATTTTATTCAGATGCTGTGTGACAAGTTTTACTTGATTGATATTTTCTACCGATTGAACATACTCTTATCTTACATTGTCTGTCAGGTAATAAATATTGAGCTACTCACGAGTATGATTAAAATAGTTGATGGAAGGTTATTTTTCAAGTCTTCCTACTGCTTCTTGAAAATGCATTGTGCCTGTGAAATCATATGGTACATTTGAAAAGGGAAAATTACTTCCATTTTTAAAATCTAGCATTGATCGAGGAGGGCAGATTGAAGAGGGATTTCATTTGTTGTTACAATTTTCAAATTTAAGGAATATTATAAAAGCAAGTGAGAACTCCTCTTCTGTGTGTTGATAATCCGTGCATTGTAATACCTAAATTTAGAAAAAGAATTATTGTGCTGTTGTGTGACTGAGAGGACTTTAATGTCACTGCAAAAGCCCTAAATTATAATTTTAAATATTTTCATAATGCATTTTTTCTTTCATTACTAGAAATCATTGGTGAGTCCAAGAATACCTCTGCTAAATACTAAATAATGTTTGTAATTCTATTCCCATTCTTCCCAATTTTGTATCACTTAGATAATTATTTTTTTTTTTGGAGTAGATTATTATTTTCACTGGGAGAAAGCACTTGTTAAAGCCATCCTTTATTTTGAACTTGAAGCTGTACTACTGGTAAGGACTAACAACTATATTAGTCAGCAAGTACCAAGGGAAATTAATTGACTAATGAAAAGTCAGTATGAATAAGTCTTGCCACAGAACCTGTCCTCAGAGTCTGAAGTTCTGTTTAGCAAGGTATTTTCATTATTTCATCCAGTATGTTGAAAAATTAATTTCCTACAATATTAATGGTTTGATGTTCTGAATTCACTGAAGTGCAGAAGTTACTGTACGTTTCAGTGTAGGAAAATTCGGAAACAAACCTTTCCACATCCAAAGCCTTTTGTGTTCACACTGAGTGATTTAGCAGCTAAACTCAAAGTCAAGCAATAGAGTGCTTTAGAATCCATTGCTAATATAGGATTATAAGATGTGAACTCCTATAGCTTGTGAATTTGTCACAGTTTGAAATCTTGATTCCTGTGACAAGAACTAAGAGTGATTGCCTACCTTAGAATCCTGACTTCTGTGAATTCACTAGTGTAAAATGCTGAATAACCTTCAAACGTATTCTATGAGGTGGCTGCTGCAGACAGATTTGTACTGAGATCAAATGTCATGTGGTTTCTGTATCATAATTAAGGAACCTTTGGAAGTTCTCTGCAAAACAGAAAGTATGAAAATGAAATGATCTTAATATTTTTCTGGGTTTTTTTAACATGATTTTTAATGTTGCGTGTTGCTTTCTGGTGTGCATGAGACATACAGTTTAACAACAGTACCCAAAATATCGAGAGCCATAAGTTTATGACAGGTATTCTTGGGCTATCCACATAGCTTTTGGATATGAATATTCCGGGTTTTAGACAGTCATAAAAGCACCTTTAAAATTATGATTGAGTAGGAAGCTCAGAAAAGTATATTATTCACAATTTAAATTGTGGAACAGTAAGTTGGGGGTTTTTTTCAATTTCTCTAATTACTGAAAGTATTTGCTAATCAATTGTAGAAGAAATAGAAGTATTTTGTTGTTTCATAAAGTAAGGTTTTGGTTGCCAACAGGCTGTGTTCTAGCACTACCACTACCACTTCTGATTTGGTAACAACTACCCACTTAAACCACAAATAAAATATACATCTGAAGCATGTTTTTCTA